CCAAGGAGGCAGAGAAAATGGGAAAGAAAGGGCTAGAGGCCACTTACTCTAATCTTCTCATTTCATAAATGAAGAAGCTGATGCTCTTTGGGATTGGATCCTGCTGAGATCACAGCAAAGCCTGGATTTGTCCTAGGCCTTCTAGCTCCCCAGCACCAACTCTGTGAACCCCCGAATTCCATTGTGGCTATGTCAGTACTGAGGCCTCCAAGCAGAAAAGATCCAAATACCCAGGTCAGAAACGTCAGCTGCCACCACTCTTGAGCTTCTGCACACCCAGTTCTGAAGGGGCAGCCTGCCCGGGAAAGGCAAAGGCATCCCTGACACCTTCCCTGGGAGGCCCTGAGCGCCGTCTCTGCATTTCCCCGGGCGAACACGAGGTGCTGCTGCCCCTCCACTCTCCTGCTCCTCCTAAGTTGCTGAAGACTTAACCCTCACACTAACACCTCTGTTTCTTTTCAAGGGATTCGGTTCCTTTCCATCAATAACTGCTGTTTCCAAGGAGTGCAGGTTGGAAACAACAACCACATGGTGATATCTGATGTCTCAGATGGAGCTGGCAGCACCCCCACCACCACAAGTAGCTTCCAAAGAAGTGCCAGAAGAACATAATGCCTGCACTGGGCCACAGGGCCGGTATCATAATGACAGAAATTGAGGAAGCATCTAAACTGACTCCTGGACTTGAAGCAACTAGCTGAGGTTTTCTTTGAAGGCCACCAGGCCTGCACCCAAACTGACTTTGTGCCCCCAGGAATCAATAAAGTGGTGGTATTTTTTAAAAATTCTTTATTGTTTAAAGTATTACATATAGTATTACATATGTCTCCTTTTACCCCCATTGACCTCTCCCCGGTCCCCCCTGGAACCCCTCCAAAAATGGAAACTAAGGAAAAAATAAATAAATGGGACTACTTCAAAATAAAAAGCTTCTGCACAGCAAAAGAAACCAATAACAAAACAACAAGATAAATGTTTCATAAACAACATTTATGAAATGACCTCACCCCCCGCCCCCCGCAGTGTCTATGTCCATTGGTTATGTTTATATGCATGCATACAAGTCCTTTGGTTGGTCTCTTACTCCCCTGCCACCACCCTCGCCTGCCTTCCCTCTAAACTCTGATGGTTGTTCAATGCTTCTATGTCTTTGAATCTATTTTTGTTCATTATATTCCAAAAATGAGTGAGATCAGGTGATATTTATCTTTCTCTGACTGGCTTATTCCCTTAGCATAATGCTTTCCAGTTCCATCCATGCTGTTGCGAATGGTAAGAATTCTTTCTTTTTTACCGCAGTATAGTATTCCGTTGTGTAGATGTACCACAGTTTTCTATCCACTCATCTGCTGATGGGCATTTACACTGTTTCCAAATATTAGCTATTGTAAATTGTGCTGCTTTGAACATAGGGGTGCATCTGTCCTTTCTGATTGGTGTTTCTGATTTCTTGGGATATATTCCTAGAAGTGGGATCACTGGGTCAAATGGGAGTTCCATTTTTAACTTTTTGAGGAAACTCCATACTGTCTTCCATAGTGGCTGCACCAGTCTGCATTCCCACCAGCAGTGCACCTGTGTTCCTTTTTCTCCACATCCTCACCAGCACTTGTCTGTTTGTTGATTTGTTCTGAAAGGTATGAGATGATATCTCATTGCTGTTTTGATTTACATCTCTCAGATGATTAGTGACTTTGAGCATGTTTTCATATGTCTCTTGGCCTTCTGTATGTCCACTTTCGAAAAGTGTCTATTTAAGTCCTTTGCCCGTTATTTGATTGGATTGTGTATCTTCCTTTTGTTAAGTTGTATGAGTTCCCTGTAAATTTTGGAGATTGAACCCTTATCAGAGACAACATTGGCAAATACACTGAGTGGCCAGATTATTATGACCAGCCAGATTATTATGACCACCCCATCAGTACTTCATTGACACTTCCAAAAATACTGAATATTGAAAACTTCCTAAGCAAATACTCTCAAGGTTTTATTATTATTGTTATTTGCATAACTAATTCACTTCATTGTACTGATGGGGTGGTCATAATAATCTGTCCACTCTGTATGTTCTCCCATGCAGTGGGCTCTCTTGTTGTTTTGTTATTGGTTTCTTTTGCTGTGCAGAAGCTTTTTATTTTGAAGTAGTCCCATTTATTTATTTTCTCCTTAGTTTCCATTGCCCTAGGAGCTGTAGTGGTAAAGATATTGCCAAGACATCTGTCTGCTATTTTGCTGCCTATGAAAATGGTGGTATTTTAACCAAAGTACCACTCAGGAGGCTAAGGTGTCAGCCATAGGAGGGAAGGGACATGGATGGGAAGCTGGGGAGCTGGCATTGAGGATGGGGGAGGCAATGCAGTCTCCCTGAGACCGGAAGCAGAGTGCTGAGAGCTGGGGGTGGGCACACAAGGTCAGGGCCCAGCTGTGGCAGGAAGGAATCCCAGAGGCCTGGCTCCTGGGGCCCACTCTAATCTCAGGGCAGGGCACTTCCTCTAGAGCAGGCAAGACCTGACCCTAAACCAAACTCTGGGGTTAGATGCTGTCCCTGCTTTTCTTCTGGGCTACAAAGACTGGGCTGTGGGGTCCTGGGAGGGGCTCTCCATGGGAATTTGCAGACCTTGTGCCCAGCAGGAGAGACCCCTCCAATTTCTCCGAGGTCAGCCCCCACACTATCACCTTCCTCCATCACACACACTCACATGCACGCTACTTCTGAGGTGGGAGTCTTTTGGGGTCTCCGCTTGTGTCTGGGAGTGGAAAGCTATGGCTTCTCAAAGCTATGCACAGACCTGCCCCCAACCACGGAGCTGGCGATGGCGGGAGAATAGACAATTATTTGGCAAGGGCCACAGCGATGGCTGTCCAGGCCCGAGAGTTGGAGGGGGAAATGAGCCCCATCTTCGTCTCTCCAGCCCTCTCTCAGCCTGCCCGCATCCAAGCATTGCACCTTCTTTTAACACTTGCCACTCCGCGGGCCCACCCCATCCCCCTCGAATCTCTCGGGTAGTCACCTTCTCTCCTAGATGGGGGAAGGGGAAAGGCAGTTCAGTTAGGAGAGACAATCAGAGTGGGGGAGGAGGCCTGGGAGGCCCGCTCTGGCACGGGAAGGGCCGGACTGTTTCATCGGGGAAGTGGGAGGGGGCCGCGGCGCCGGGAGGGAAGCGCCTGTCGCCCGGGGCTCAGAGCCACTAACTTAGCGGCGAGCAGAGACTCCGCAGCTAACTCCCCGAGCTCCCTCCCGGGCCTGGCACACTCAGCTGCAGCAGCCTCGCAGGCGGTGAGTTGGGGAAAAGAGGGAACCCGTTGCTTCAACCCCAAATCCTGTCCCCCTGGAGGTGAGGTTTTGCTCGGGCACCTCCGGAGTCCGGGGTTGAGGGAGGAGGAGCGAAGGATTGGGCAGAGCCCTTGCCGCCAACTGGGAGAACACTGGCAGCCACAGGGTGTGCCTGGAAGGAGATGGGATGGCCTGAGGCTGGGGGTGGGGATGGCAGCGGCTTGTACCTGGTGAGGGGGATGCGGCTGGGGCTGGCTGGAGCCGCGGGCCGTAACCCGGACACCGACCCTCCCCAGCCCCGTGCCTGCGTCCAGGCGGTGCAGCGCGGGACGAGGGGAGACCATGGCCCGACTCTTCAGTCCCCGGCCGCCACCCAGCGAAGACCTCTTCTATGAGACCTACTACAGCCTGAGCCAACAGTACCCGCTCCTGCTGCTGCTGCTGGTGATCGTGCTCTGCGCGCTCCTGGCGCTGCTGGCCGTCGCCTGGGCCAGCGGCAGGGTGAGCAGGGCCTCCGGGGCCCCAGCCTCACGGGCGCGGGCGGGTTACCGCCCAGGGGGCATTTTCGGTGGTGAGACCTGTAGGGTCTTCTTTACATGTGCTTTCTTTGCTGGGACCCAGGAAAGAAGCGCTGAACCTTACTAGGAACTGTGGTGACCCTGGCCAAGTCACTTCACCTCTCGGGTCTACTCGGGGAGGTAGCTAGCCCTGGAGGCTTCCAGTTTCCCTCAGGGCGCTGACAGACCCGGACTGGCTTCTGTGCTCTACTAGTTCTAGAGTCAATCCAACACCAGGTTTTGCGATTTTCCAGGGAGTGGAGGGGGAAGAAAGGATAGAGAATTACACTGGGCCCTGTGGGGATCTGTTTCCTGGTTTTCTTTCCCACTTAGGGGTTGTGGGGCAGATGTACCCACAGACTCCCAGAAGGCACCCTCCATCCCACTCTCATTTAGTCCCCAACTAAGCCCGTTTCCAGTTTCTTTTGGGGGGAGAAAAGGGTTTTTTTTAAAAATATATTTTATTGCATTTTTACAGAGAGGAAGGGAGAGGGATAGAGAGGTAGAAACATCGATCAGCTGCCTCCTGCACACTCCCCACTGGTGATGTGCCCGCAACCAAGGTACATGCCCTTGGTCGGAATCGAACCTGGGACCTTTCAGTCCGCAGGCCGACGTTCTATCCACTGAGCCAAACCGGTTAGGGCAGAAAAGGGGTTTTTCATTCCATTTCTGGAAACATCCTGCTCCAAGTTTTCTTCTCACTCTTCCGAGGCAAGGTGGGGAGACCACCTCACAGTCTAGGGGAGAGCGGGGGACAAAGGGTGAAGACACTAGCGGGACTTCTACGCGCCCTGCGGAGCGTGGCGAGGCACAGCCTCTGGAGGCGAGGGAGGTTCCCGGCGCCCCCTGCTGCCAAAGCACTGATTGCGGGGCCGGAAATCCTGAGGTTTGTGCCGGGCCGGGACTCTCCTGAGCAAATTGGCCAAACTTGGACGCATTCATCTCTAAGCGACTTCTGTGAGCTCGGGTTTTATTACTTGCTTCCCGACCCCAGGCTGTTGCTAAGATTCCTATTTGACAGATGAGAAAACTGAGGCTCAGAATGATCAGGGATTCACAAATGGCCCATTTGGGACGGAAGCCAGAATTTCTGGGTAGAGCGGCCTCTGCAGCCTGCAAGTGATATGTTAGGTTGAACCATATAAGATTGCTGGCTGTGTAGATGACAGAGTATCCGCAATTCCTACGGTTCGACCTAATATAAATGGCAAGCAGAGGTGCCCTGCCTTATTTTGTAGTTGGGTCTGAGACACTTTTCAGAACTGGCCTGAGGGGCTGTCCATTCTTTCCCTTCCTGGACGAGCTCCCCAAACCTCACACGCGCCCCTCCCCACAGGAGCTGGCCGCAGACCCGGGCTTCCTGACCACAGTGCTGTGCGCGCTGGGCGGCTTCTCGCTGCTGCTGGGCCTGGCTTCCTGCGAGCAGCGGCTGCAGCGCTGGACGCGTCCGCTCTCGGGCCTCGTGTGGGCAGCGCTGCTTGCGTTAGGCCATGGCTTCCTATTCACTGGGGGCGTGGTGAGCGCCTGGGACCAGGTGAGAGGGGCGGCAGGGGGAGCAGGGGGGAGAGGGACGCCAGGCCGCGAACTTGCACCCAGGACTCTGTAGAGCAGAGCAGCAGTGTCAGCCTGCAGCCTCCCGCCTCCCTCCCCCAGGTGTCCTTTTTCCTCTTTGTCATCTTCACTACCTACGCCATGTTGCCTCTGGGCATGCGGGACGCCACAGCTGCGGGCCTCACCTCCTCCCTCTCACACCTGCTGGCACTCGGGCTGTATCTTGGACCTCAACTAGACTCAAGACCTGCGCTGCTGCCGCAGGTGAGCATGCATGCAGAACAGGCTGCGCCCAGGGGCGGCTCCGCTGGGCAGTGCTGGGTTCATCAGGGCATTCGCCAACCCTATGACGAGCTGTGACTCCATGGCAGCATGCAACGC